TTCATACTTCCAATTGATTCCTCTGTATTTCAGCCATGGTACTCTTCCTTTCCTAGGGTGGAGAACAACATCCGCTATTGTTTTACCACATATGTACGAGTAAGGAGCTCTATAGCAGATTCCCTGAGTCAGAATTCTGATCAAATTTGTGATGATAGATCAGATTCCTCAAAATTTGAGGTCAAGAACTTCGCTTTCCTTCCTAAAATGATTTTTGAGAGGCATGAGGAGAACAATTATCTCAATCTGGTCCAAGATATCATCTCTGAAGGCACTGCTAAGGATGATAGGACTGGGACTGGCACCTTCTCAAAATTTGGTTGCCAGGTAACATCATGATTGGTTTTTTGAGAGATGGTTGTGATTTATATGATGGCTTATTGTCTCTATATATTTGCAGATGAGGTTTAATTTGCGCAGAAGCTTTCCTCTTTTAACAACTAAGGTATGCAGATATATTGGTTAAGACATCTGTAAATTTACTTTACCTTTCAATTACTTTTTGTTTGTTTTAATTTCGCTGGAGGATTTTTGGGAAAGAAATATTTATTGTATGTGTTGATGTAGTTGACATGGTTTCTTCATTTGTTTCCTAGAAAGTATTTTGGCGAGGGGTTGTTGAAGAGCTTCTTTGGTTCATAAGTGGTTCAACGAATGCCAAGGTAATAACATCATTGTCGAAATACATACACATGCACATGTACACATGGAGTGCCACATATTTCCTAACTAACTTGTCAAGAGGCTGAGATGAGCCTAGTTTAAGTAATCGAAGCTTGCCTTAATATTATTTGAACTTGGGTTCAAATAGAGATTCAGTTATTAGAAGGTTGGGAATGTCTTCAGTCATCTCACAAGCTCAGCACTAATCTTTACTCTAATTATAAATTATAAAAATATCATTAATTAAAAGCGTGTTGTATGTGGGGTTCCTGCTAATCTATATGCAGATGAGCACACTCTTTATCACTTACAAGTTTTCTAAAACAATATTCGTTGGCTTACTTTTGAATAGATAAAATGGAGCATTGTTAGCTAGGTTTGCTCTCAAGGGAGAAAAATGAAATTTGAGGCTTATGCTAACTCCTTCCATGTGGTAATGTAGAATACACAACATATAGTGACATGTTTCACTAACTCAAGAATCGATTTTGGTGAAACTTTTGCTATGCTCTTTGGTGAAAAATGCCAAGTTGCTGTGAAGTCATGACCTGATAGTTCATATCTGCTACAGCTTTAACCATTTCCAGTGGCTATCTGCATAAGCTGTGCCAAAATGAGATTAAAGCACCTGACAGTTTATAAGGAAATTCATGGGGTCGTATTTATATTCTAGCCTAGAGGAAGGAATCTTTCCTATTGCTACAGAAAATGGTTTGGTAGTTGTTTCTGGCTTTCTGCTTGTTCCAATGCTTGCCAATATTGAAACCATGAAGATATATTATTCTATGCAAAACTTTCAATGTAAATCGTTCACATATTGATGCTCTGTACCTTTTGATTGAAATCTATTATTGAAATCTATGTTGTTGACAGGTGCTACAGGAAAAAGGGATCCATATATGGGATGGCAATGCATCCAGAGAATACCTTGATAGGCAAGGCTTGACTATCAGCTTTTATTCATAGAGATAGTACTTTGTGTTTTCGATGTAGTCACTGATTGTCTTGTAACTGCAGTATTGGATTGGCAGAGAGGGAGGAGGGTGACTTGGGACCTGTTTATGGGTTTCAGTGGAGGCACTTTGGTGCCAAGTAGGTGGATCATATTTTTTTCTCAGTAAAGATATTGTTTCATTTGGGGTCTTTTAGCTCAGTTTATCCACGTATCATTCTATAGGTATACTGACATGCATGCGGACTACTCTGGCAAAGGATTTGATCAGCTTTTAGATGTTATTAACAAGATAAAGCATAATCCTGATGATCGGCGGATTATTCTCTCAGCTTGGAATCCAGTGGATCTTAAATTAATGGCCCTTCCACCCTGCCACATGTTTGCACAGGTCTACAGTCCTCTCTGGGTTGTCTTTGAAACAAAGTGAATCTGTACTTCTCCATGCCCCTCCCTTTCTAAGATTTCGGCATCTTCCTTGCAGTTCTATGTAGCAAATGGGGAGTTATCTTGTCAAATGTATCAACGATCTGCAGACATGGGCCTGGGTGTGCCCTTTAATATTGCATCTTATGCTCTCCTGACATACATGATTGCTCATGTTTGTGGTATGCAAATTTTGCGAGCATTTGCTTAGGATTTAGATGTGTAGTCAGATATACGAGTCATTTTAAACTTCAAGGTTTTCTGGGTTTAATAAATGTTTTGTGCCGTCTTTCTTTGGCTGTAATGTCGAGTTTTATGGGTTTCCATAAAACTTTGGTCACTGGTGAAGGTTCAGATATTTATTGACAAGCAAAGAGAACGGAAAGAATTGGCATTGCTTATCTGACAGATGTATATTGCTATGCCCTTTTCTTTCAGAGCTTGTTCCGGGTGATTTTATCCATGTCATTGGGGATGCACATGTTTACCGCAATCACGTGAGACCTCTGCAGGAGCAGCTCCGTAACATTCCAAAACCTTTTCCGGTATGTTTGTTATGTTCAGGAAGCAATTTGACCTGACATGGCTGGCTAAAAAGTACCGACACTGTCTCCCTGATCACCTTTATTTCAATGCAGATTTTGAAGATAAACCCAAAGAAGGATATAGATTCTTTTGTGGCTTCTGATTTCAACCTCGTAGGCTACGATCCTTCCCAGAAGATAGAAATGAAGATGGCCGTGTAACCATCTAGGAGATTGACTCTTAATCCCTTCAGGCTGCCCATGTTTTTTGAACTGAGGCAAGTATCATCCCTTCATAATTAGTACTATATTTTCTCTGACCACTGAACATGGAGATTTAGATTACATTGATGATGTATTCTGCTTCAGGCGATGAAGATATGAGGCTTTTACGTACTTAATAAAGAGAGCTACTAGTTGGAATTGAAGCTTTGGTATAGGGTTGCTGTCAGTGGACATTATTTAGTTCCACATCACATGTATGGTTTGGTGGTTCCTAAGCTGATTTTTAGGTGAACTGCATTTTGTTTTATGTCAGTCATTGGCTGTTTTGACTGTAACACAACTCATACACAAGTCACACGTCGCATACTTCAAATTTGAGATTATAACTCGTCTTATTATTTGCTTTCCTACTTGGTTTTACAATATAGGTGTTCGTTGAATTTGGTGTACAGAATTGGGGGGGGGGGAAATGTTTCTTTAAAAGAATAAACAAATAATATTAATCATTGACTAGAATAATATAAAGCCTGTTTGAAATAGTTTATAAATGGTTTTTCAATTATGATTTATGAAAGACGAGATAAGTGTATGAGAAGGGTTTCACGTGGATATAAGTAATTTTGACCTCTTTTCCAAACATGCCTGTAATGGATGTGGTATACAATGAATGAAAAATGATTTTCATTTCGCGGTTGATATGATGATACTTGGCTCTTTATATTTTATCCATTGTTCGTGCTTATCATCGTTTAGACGTCCAAGTCCAAAGTTTAAAATCTGTAAAGTTTAACAGGTAAATTAATTTTTTTAACAGATAAACTTTTAAAAGATTATCTTTATCTCAAATTATTTATATATTAAAATGAACGTTTTTAGAAACTTAAAAAAAAAGAAAAAAGAAAATACTCTCATACTACATATAGGAGTTAGTTAATTCACATAAATTAAAACATATTAGGTAAATTAATTATTTAAAGAAGGGTAAAGTAAAGACATCTTGATTTTTTTCTTTTCAAGTTCATTTAACATCTCAATTTTTTTAGTAGTATAAGTTTATTATTGATTTTTTTAAAAATTAGTGTAATCTTATCCATTACCAACGGATCGTAAATGTCATTGGGATTAAAGTTTCCGCATACGTAATTTAAAAAAAAGAAAAAGAAAAAAGAAACCTGCGGCCTTTTAATCTTTGGCTTGCCAGCACACATCACAGAGATTGAACCTTCCCCTTGCGGCTTGCCTGCGACTGCGAAGATTAACCATTATGAGGACCCACTCCCCCCGTCTTTCCTCCTTCGAACGTTGCGGAGATTCGAACGGAAACACTCCACGTCTGTTCAAAATCAACCAGTGACGTCGACGACGAAGGTCTTCTTAGTGAAGGCCTTTCCTCTGCCGAGTGCCGACTTCAACTTTATCCAATGAATTTTTGTTACTCTTCTTCAGCCTGTGTTGCTTCGCCGCCGCTCTATCTCCTTCACCTTCTTCTCCTTTGCAAACCTGGATCCGGAAACGTCCCTAACTTCGCCTTCATCCTCCGTTGCTTCCTCCTTGGTTGCTCCGTCATTCTTCCGTCGGCAACGAAATCTTTCCCATTGTTCTCTTCGTCGCCGTGGAAGAAGGTGGCTATGGAAGGAGAGGAGAGTTGGGGAATGAGAGAGAGAGAGAGAGAGTCAAGATCATTTTGCGATGTTTATGATCTTGCTTGCAATGTGTGCGATGGTTTCACCAGAGACGATGCAGGACCGACCTCTGTAAAGGGCGCCCGAATACAAAACCAGAGGTTTCTTTCTGAGTGAAAAACCCACGAGTTTCTCCCCCCCCCGCTAAATTATTTATGTAGAAATTTTAACCCCAACATATGTTAATAGGCGTTTAAAGTTTTGTTAATGATGGGTAGGATCGCACCATCTTTAAAAAATTAAAAATAAAATTGTATCAATTAAAACAATGGGGGGTATGTCAACCTAAAAAAAAATTGAGGCGCTTTTGAGAGAAGTGGGTTGATTTTCTTGAAATTCTCACGAGACTAGAGATTTAGCCGGCACAAGTATAACTTCATGCACACACAACTTAAGTTTGAGTCATCGCAATAACCAAGTGCTGATGCTTAAGCGTACAAGTGCTTTATTTTATAGATGGAGCTAGTACAGAACTTCCTAATCCATCATTCATGCTCTCTCTCTCTCTCTCTCTCTGACATGCGTTAATCAGTTCTTAGTGAGGGAAACGATGAGATTATTATAAACGAGCTCCTTCACCTGCATGAGTTGCCCAACCTGGTTTGTGAACCTCTGGAACAATTCCTCCATGATTTCATCCCCAAACTGCTTCTTCAGAAGAGGTTCCGTCACGGCTCTCATGTACTGTCCTACAAACTTTGCTTTCATGGGCGTCGTAGTACTCTCATTCATCTCTGCATCCCAACCCAGTTTGCTGTACTCCACTCTTTCTACACTAAACGATCCTTCTTCTTCAACCATCTCCCTCACTTCCTTCTCCGTCGGCCCATAATATGGAATGTCAAATTTGTCCAGTTTGGCCTCCTCAACTCTGCCCTGCAAACCCCACCATTCGAAAGAATGAGTTAAGAAACTGTAGCAAGTTATATTCCCACAATCATATATCAGAACGGACATAGATACCTCTAAGGCCATTTCATGAAGGACCATTCCGACTAGGTTGAAGATAGTTGATGGATCTTCATCCTCAAGTCTGCCACGAAATGTGAGAACCATGCCACCACCTTGTACCAATTCCACTGAACGAAGTTTCAGAAACAGTTTGAAATCCTCCTGAAACTGCTCACAATATGCTTTTCTCACTGCAGGAGGGCTTGTATCTGTTATATAAATGTCTCCCTTGTTTAATGCTGTGCCTCCGTTGCTAGCCAAACCCTTTGGGACCTGTTCATTGAACATACAAGAGCAACATCCTTAATTAGTTGTACAAGCTAAAATGAAGATTATATTAATGTTCTGAACAATCTAGAATTAATTAATGTGTATCTGCTTGCATGCACGTGTTCATTCTGACCTGAGAGAGCCAGTGGACACTGAAAGATGAATGGAAGAAATGGATGGAATTATCTGGGAAAAGCCTTCCATAGAAACTCCCAGGAACCCCGACAATAAAACAAGGTCCAAATTTGTCTCCTTGGTCTTGTCGGAGCTTGCCGTAGAAATCAGGAAGGGACTGAAAAATTGTGTTGAAGTCATTTCCGGGAAGATCATTGAGGAAAATCTGGAACGAAGGTGGCTTCAGTCTCAAGCTTAAGCTCACTGCATGAATAATTCCCATAATTTCTGATGCTGTCATCAATGTGTTGGGCCCAGAAGAGCATCCCAAGTCTGCAACATTCAAACAATCTGGAAGAATCTTTCTGTAGACTCTCGTGATGTTCTCTTTCACAATGGGCTTCGCTTTCAGCATCACCTTTCTCTGATCATACATAATGCGAAAAACTAGATAAGTTAATTAAGAATGAAACTAATATATTGTCCTAACATGCACGGATATAGCTGCTTAATTTGTTGAATTTCTGGGGAGAGAAATTATATTCATGAAGAACCTGAAGTAAGGAGTTGTTTGCATAGCTCGTTTCTCCAATACCGCCGTTCATGTGAAGCACTGTGTCTGTTGCCATGGATGCTAGCTCCGATTGAGAGTTGGTGGGGTTCCAGAAAGATTAAAATAGCCCACTTATAAATTACATGAAGCACTGCGCAGTTACGTGTCATCCTATCTCATGCTCAAGAATACTCCCTCTTGCTTTAAATCTGGAGAATATTGTGGTCTATTTTATAGTCTTTTGACTTTATTTATGAGGCAGAGAAAGAAGATTTTTTTAGTCATATTTATAGAGCAGTGAGAAAATTTTTTTATATTGATATATAATTTTACCTTATGTTTATTACAGTATTAACTTTGTTTATATGTACGTATATTAAATAGGAATACAGTTGAAAAATTGTTAAATTTAAAATGAGAGTTAATGAAGTTTAAGGTTTTTTTTAGCCTGTGTGAAACATGTTAGAAGTGACTTATAAATAGGATCATAGGAGTAAACTTTAATTTGAGTTTATCCTGATTTTTAATTTTTATATAATTTTGTATTTAATTAATTATTTTTTTGTGTGGTGCCTCTTCTTATTATATTTTTCGATGTATTATTTTTTAAAAGTATATTTTCTATTATATGTAAATTTTTTGGGTCAAATATATTTAATTACTACTCCCTCCGTTTTTTATTATAAAAGATATTTGATGCTTATAGTATGTTCCCATATACTCCTTTGATTCGATTTATAGGGCAGAAAGAAAATGTATTTTTTGGCCTATTTATAGGGTACTGAGAGAAATTTTTTATAGATGTACAATTTTACCCCTCATTTATTATTGTGTTGATTTTGTTTATATGAGGTATAATATATATTAAATAGGGATAAAGTTGAAAATTCATTAAATTTTAAATGAGTTAATGAAATTTAAGGTTTTTCTTAGCCTGTGTGAAACATGTTGGAAGTGTTTTATAAATAGAACCAGTGGAGTATAAGAGACACTTAAAAATTGTTTTTATTTTTTTATTAATTTTTTATTTTATCTTTATTTATTTTGTCTCCAACTCACACACTCTCTCTCCCATTTCTCTTTCTTTTAATAATTTAATTATTCCTTCTCATGCTCTCTCCTTATCAATGAGGGTATTGTTAGAAAAAATATTATACTTTTTACATATCAATTATTTTTAACCAATTTTAACTGTTTTTTTAATCAATATAATTTGATTATTTGTCTCTTGCAATATAATAAGTAACGGAGGGAGTATAATTATGAGTTGGTAAAAACTGATCTCTGGCTTCACTGGCACACTAACTCACAGCATTGCGAGTGAAAGACAAAAATAAATAAATGTAGTTACAGTCAGAGAGTCAAAGGAAATGAGATGAAACGAACCGAATCCAAATTCAACGGCCGAACACGAACAGTGTGCTTTTTCTCTTGAAAATCTAAAACAAGCGTACGTCACAAGCCAGATGAAATAACTCACCATTAAATGTTAATGAGCAAATTTTCTGAACTTCACCATAATTATTTAATTAATGATCATTATTACACCTTAAATTCACCTTGATATCATAACCCTACACGGCTATAACCTTTAATTTTTTTTTTGGTCAAAAGGCTATAACCTTTAATTTAGATACTCCATACACTTGTCAAATACTCGCATTTGCAAGTTACTTTTATAATTGCTGGTAAAAGAAAGTTACTTTTATAATTGAAAAAGATATTAGATTTTATTAATTCTATTTTAAAATTAAATAATTTTTAGATTTTATTTCTATTTAATGTATTTTTCCCCCTAAAACTTTACTTCCTCCATTCTTTATTATAAGAGATAAATAACCAAATTACGTTAATAAAAAAACAGTTAAAATTAGTTGAGGACAATTAATGTGTAGAAAGTATAATGTTTTTTCCAACAATGTCTCCATTAATAAGGAGAGAGAGTATGAAAGAGAACAATTAAATTATTAAAAGAAAGAGAAGTGGGAGGGAGAGAGAATATGAGTTGGAGACAAAATAAATAGGGGTAAAATAGAAAATCAATACAAAAAAATAGAGACAACTTTTAAGTATCTCTTATATATGGGAACATGCCATAAGCATCAAATGTCTCTTATAATAAGGAATGGAGGGAGTATTTGGTTCAATGGAAGAAAGGAGAAGAGAGATTAATTAAAAGGAGGGAAAAAAAGGGGAAGGGGGTTATGATTTTGTTTAGTTCAAAAGAAAGCAATGGGAAGGGATGTTTCTTGTTTGGTTGGAAGAGGAATGAGAGCTAATTATAAAGTAACAAATATGTCTTTATCCTTTTATTTAAATTTTTATTATTTTATTATAATATTTAAATCAGAATTATTATTTTCTAATTTATGAGTCTCAAAAAATTAATCACCATACCTACATGTGACAAAAAATATTATATCCATTTTAAGTAATATTTTTTTATTAATTATAACATATCGTTTTGCAAATTTCAATATGCTTGTTAAATTTTTAGTACGATAAAAATAAAAAATAAAATGGATTGTTGTCCCCACATGTAAAATATTTGTATATATTTGTTGTTAGTCTCTGACGCACAAACTACTTCTTCTAAATATAAAAAAAAAATACTTTCCATTAAAAGATTAAAAATAGCAGAAAAGACTAGCAGCTTATCTGAAAAAGAGGTGGAGGTGAAAAAAGGGGTTTTAGTAAGAAAGGGCAAACTTGTAATATTAAATAATTAGTAAGGATAATTTAGTTAGGATGACATATAAAATTTTTTTCTCTTCCAAAAACCCCAAATTTAAAAAGGAGTAAAAGGAGAAAAGAGAAGCATTAAAAGACAATTTTTTTTCCTTTTCCCTCCCCTTCATTTCTCGAACCAAACAGGCTTAACCTATCATCTCCCCTTCCCCCCTTAAAAAACTTCTAGCCTCTAACCAATCAGTACATAAGACAATAATAATTTGCATAATAATTAATAAAGGTTATCAAATATTTAACTATGTGACTTATAAATAAAAAAAAATTCTCCTAACTTATAAATTGAACTAAAGAAGTATATGAACCATTTATTACCACCAAAAAGTGACTTGTAATTTATAAATTAAATGAGGAATTCTCCTAATTTGTTGATTATATTTGATAACAAGGAATTCTCCTAATTTTGATTATATTTGATAATACTGACACAACATAGCATAAAACGACTCAAGTACATCTGATAAATACTCAAACGATACTTTGACTTATTGGCCATACTTAAAGAACCACGTAATAAACTAAGATACATTTCATTCGAACCCACAAGCAATGAATTGAAGAAATTCTTCCAGAAATCCATGAAAGGAAAGACTTAGGCAGCTTCTTCGTCAGTCTGCTATCATTTCACGAGCCAGCTAGCATTATACTTTGTTGATTATTGGTCATACACAGACATTCTAATGGCCCTCATTTTTAAGCAATTTTAGTGAGAGATACAACCAAAATAGGATACTCCAATTTGGGCAAGAATTGGATAACCTTGTTCTTAAATCTAAGGAAGATCTCATCCATGATTCCTTCTCCAAAATGTGCCTTCAAAAGAGGTTCAAAGACAGATCTTTTGTTTCTGGTTATGAACTCGGCTCTTTCATTCTCATCCGTAAATCTCTTTTTGCTTGTTTCATCATCTAAGCTTGATCCGTCCCAACTTGTTTTGATACTCTCCAATCTTTCTACACTGAAAGACCCTTCTCCCTTTATCATTTCCCTCACTTCATCAGCAGTAGCAAAATAATTTGGCACACTGAAATATTTCGACCTTGTCTCTTCAATCAAATTCTGCAGCATTTATTTATTATCTTGATTCATCCATGTGTAGCATATATAAATTATTAAAAAACGATTTGGATAGCGAAGAATTCAACATGCTTAATGATCGGAAATGATTAAATTTATCTAATTACCTCTGAGACCATGTCATTGAGTATCATACGAATGAGCCCCGGAACAGTTATATTTTCAGAAGTATCAAATCTTCCCATAAATGTAAGAAGCATTCCACCCTTAGGTACCAATTCCTTGGAGCGTGATCTGAGAAATAGTTTGAAATCTTCTTTAAACTGTTTAGCGTACGATGGAGGATTAATGCTTGTCACATATATATTCCCTTTATCATCATCTCCTATTTTTGCTTCCTCGCTTGACAAATCTGGAACCTGTTCCCCAACATTCAGTATACAATATGTAATCCAAACATTAAAAATATACATATAACTGAAAAGGAAATAGAGAATTGGAGGTAGGGAAGTTGAAGGTAGATGATGATGACCTGAGAGAGCCAGTGTAGAGAAAAAGAGGAATGGAAGAAATGGATGGAATTGGAAGGAAAGAGGGTGCCAAAGAAAGTTCCAGGCGTTGCATTGATCAAACATGTTGTGTCCTGTTTCAGGGTGTGATAGAACTCTGGAAGCGACTTGAAGATTGAATTAAAATCATTCCCAAATAGATCATTAAGGAAAAACTGGAACGTGGGTGGATCAACTTTCAATCTAAGACTTGTTTCGTTGGCTATATCGATGATGTTAGATACCACCAAAAGTGCATTTGGTCCAGAAGAACACCCTAAATCTGCTACTTTCATACAAGTTGGGAGGTTGGTGCCGTACATCTTGTTGATGCCTTCTTCAAGTATAGGTTTCAGTCTCATTATTACCTTCTTCTGCTCAAACAAAATCATGATCTATATATATTATAGAACTGATCGATCTGATATCTTTCACCTTCAATCACTATATTAAAAAGACATAGGAAAACGTTTGAAGAAGTTAATATAAATGTTTGAATACAAGAGAGCAGCGTACCGGAATTGAAGAGTTGTTGGCGTAGCTTGTTTCTCCCACTCCTCCATTCATATGAATCACTTGCTCTACAGGCACCGCCATGTCCGCCGTTGACGACCACTTAGCTCAATTATAATTCTCACGCTTTATACAAATGCACAAAGAAGATGACATCCAAATTTAGCTCAGGAAAAAAAAAACCTATTTTGCCGACGCTTCTTCTTAATAAATAAATTAGCTGCTGTCCTGTCAGTTCAAAACATATCTTCTGCAAAATATTTCCACCAATCACCCTCAGTTTACTTTTGGTATATTGTAATATTATAATAATGACCAATATCGGCAAATTGATCGCTCAAAGATTTGCCAGGACTTGATTATTTTATATGTCCTGCGCTGGATCGCATAGAAGGTGGGATGATAAGGGGGATCATGAAGTTGTTCTCAACGTTTAGGATAATAAGAACACTAATCAGCCATAAAATAAGAAGATATGTATAATGATATCAGATCTGGCATCACTACGCAAATATAAAAGACGTACACACACACAGACGTTATAATTATAACTCATTTGTACCCGACACGCATGAATAAATAATTGATACTGTACCTTATGTCCAAATCATATTCTTTGTATTTTTCTAATATGCTACCTCCATTCTTCAATATAAAAACTAGTTGAGAATTAGGTTTGGTGCTAAATATAAATTCTCAATCAATTCTATCCCTCTAAATTTGTAATTTATTTTCTAAAGTATCATATTGATTATATATGTCAAAGAGTTTCCATTCAAAGATAGTCATGATTAAAATGGATACTTTATAAAAATTAATTTATATTTATTATAAATAACTAATTTAACTAATTTTTTTAATCCACTCAAATTAGTTAAGTAACTCTTATATTAACAGCCGTTGGTAGCATGTCATTTTCATATTCCTTATTTAGATGTATTTAGAATTATTGTTTATCTTCTATCACAATATATTTATTAATTATATTGAGATTTCAAATTGTAAGTCACCAACAGGGAAGGGAAATGGGCTTAATAAGTTAGATTATGTTAGAAAGCTCATAATATGATTGCAATCTGCTGGTGGCCCACCTCCACAAATTTAAACTAGTGCGCTCTCACTATTTTCAATCATTTGATAAGATAGTGAACAACCGTGGGTACCTTGGATTGGCCATAAGTGGCAGACATACATAGCATTACTTAACAACAAATCAACGTACGACATGACAATAATAAATTAAACCACACATGTATAGCGAACAAGAAGAGCAGCCAAGAAATACTGATTATTCAAACTCACAGGTAATGAACGGAAGAATCTTTCAAAGCATCCTTATGAAAGAAAATACTTGGGTACGTAGTTTCTTTCTTCATCATTCTGCTATTTTATAAGCCAGCCAGCATTATATGTATTATTGATCATTCTGCGAATGGGCCTCACTTAAGCAATTTTAGTAAGAGATATGACCAAAGTAGGAAACACCAATCTGGGCAAAAACTGGACATAATCAATATGATAATAATGTTTTGGAGTGAATTAAAAAAAGTTAGTTTGACTCTGGGACATAATCAAAGACATGCTTCTTGTCTTTATTCACTATTGTTAATGATTGATAATGGTTAAATTTAACTATGTTGAATAATATGAGTTTACCTCTGAGACCATGTCATTGAGTATCATACGAATGAGTCCTGGAACACTTAACTTTTCAGAAGTATCAAATCTCCCCATGAATGTAAGGAACATTCCACCCTTAGGCACCAATTTCCTGGAGCGTGATCTTAGAAACATTTTGAAATCTTCTTTAAAATGTTTAGCGTATGATGGAGAACTAATGCTTGTCACATATATACTCCCTTTATCACCATCTCCTATATTTGCTTCCTTTTGCTCAACGAATTTGGAGCCTGCTCCCCAGCATGCAATAATATATGTAATATATCCCAACGATACTAATATATGTGATTGGGAAAAATAGAAAATTATAGCTAGTGGAGAGAGAAAGAGGAATGAAAGAAATGGATGGAATTGGAGGGGAAGAGGGATCCATAGAAAGTGCCAGGCGTTGCATTTATCAAACATCTTGTGTCTTGTTTCAGAGTGTGATAGAACTCCGGGAGTGACTTGAAGATTGCATTAAAATCATTCCCAAACAGATCGCTTAGGAAAAACTGGAAGGTGGGTGTTTCAACCTTCAATCTGAGACTTGTTTCGTTGACGATATCGATGATGTTAGATGCCACCAAAAGTGCATCTGGTCCCGAAGAACACGCCAAATCTGCCACTTTCAAACAAGTTGGAAGATTGGTGCAGAACATCTTGTTGATGCTTTCTTCAAGTATAGTTCTTGCTCTCATCATCACTTTTTTCTGCTAAGGCAAAGCATATAATATGTAAATATTAATGATCGGATCTTCGACATTTATTATTAGAATAAATAAAAGCAAAAAAAAAAATCACATTTTGATAAAGTTAATCTCTTTGAATACAAGAGAGCGCACCTGTACTGAAGAGTTGTTGGCGTAGCTTGTTTCTCCGACACCCCCATTCATATGAAACACTTGCTCTACAGCCATAACCTCGGACGCCATTCTTGTATTGATGAGTTACCTCTCAAATCCACTCTAAATGTCAGAAACCTATTGTTATGCCTTTATAGAAACGCACGACCAAAGGTGACATCAGGATTTAGCAGCTAATAAGAAAATCCGTTCTCTGGTTCTATTTTGGTGTGCTTCATAAATTAGATGTCATTCTTTCAAAACATACGTGGGGTTTAAGAATATTATCTCCCCTTCAGAATTGTTCAGCTCATTTTCAAATAGTAATATACGAGTATATTATAAAATGAACAATATCTTCAATAGCTCTTTATTCGCGTGGAACAAAAGCAATGGAGAACCAATGAAGGGACAAATAATCAATCATAACATAAGGAATAAAGAGATGTACATATTTAGTATATGATCGTGAGTAATTTAAAAAAAAAAAGAAGAGAATAAATTTGGAAGAGGATTTTGGAAAGATTTTTCTTTAAAAAAATTAATTAGAGAAGCTATTTGTTGGCTTGATGCTATAATAATAATAATAATAAAAAGAATCAACCTCTGCTTATAAGTGCGCCATTTTTATATGGAACACAAATCATGTCTCACGTTGATATTTTTAAATTTTGTATTGTTGAATTTGGATTTCTGATTTTTTTTTTGTGATAATAAAACTTTGGTCCCTCACGTTTTAGCTTCTCAATTGTCAATTTGATTCTTAAAGTTTCATTTTTATTAATTTAGTACTTGACGTTGCATGAAGTGATTGGGTTATCCTAGAATAACTGCTTGTCAATATTTTCAGAAAATTTGTCAACAATCATCTTTCAAGAAGGGTAACGAGATAACTTCATGAAAAGCGAAAGATAAAGGACTAGATTAGTAAAAATGAAACTTGAGAGGTCAAATCGGTAATTTAGCCAAACGTAATGGACCAAAAGTCTTATTATCCAATTCGTTTTTTATTAAATAAAAATCTATATACAAATTATAATTGTAATTTATTTGTGCGCAGCAAGAATAGATTGTGGCCATACTAAATAATTGACGATGGCCGCGGGAGGGGGGGGGGGACTAAATAATCGATACCGTTCAACGTGACTCGTGCGTCGCCATATGCCTTGCGCCCAAGTCATTCTCAGTATTTTTTTCTAATATAGTACGTTATTTCCATATTTCTTATCAATATATATATTTAAAGTTATTATTAAATTATATTCAAATTTCAAATGGTAAGTTGACGAATATGTTATGAACAGTAATGGGCTTACTTAAAAAAGAAAAAGAGGTGTATTATTGTATTTTCATTGTTAAATTTAGTTTTAGTTTCGGCCTAGAGGCAGACTGAAATTTTGAAATCTTTTGAAATTTTGAAACTTTAGTAGGGAGACAATAAACTCCTATAGTAGCAAATTAATATCAATCAACCTCAAAAGAAATGAAATTAAAATTTAAGAGTAAAAATATAATAATACCTCTTCTTTTTATTTATTAAAAATAAATATTAATTATTGTTGGAGCTCTGGCCTCAGGTGCCCGCCACGTGAGCATTGATGGCCAAACCTCCAACTTTTGGTAACTACTCACTGAAATTTCAATAAAAAGAGTTTGAACTCATGACCTGTTGGCCCATAAAAAACAAAAAAAAAAAACCATTAAGCTAACTAATTCACTTAATCATGTAATGCAAAAAATATAAGTGTCTAAGGGTTTGTTTGGTTGAAGGGGAGGGGAGGGCAAATGAGCCTCTCCCCTCATTTGGTTAAAAATTTTGGAGGGGAGGGGAGCTAAAATGTCCCCTCCCCCCCTCCCTCCCCCATTTTGGCTCCTCTCCAAATTGGGGGTTTTTGGAGGGGAGCCAAATTTTTAGACCATTATGCCCTTATAGTTTTTTCAATATTCCACTTCTACCCATAAAATATATTATTATAATATTTATTTCAAATAAAAAATATATTATCATAAGTAAAAAATAAAAAAAATATACATTATTATAATTAAAAATATATTATAAAAAATTATTTAAATAAAAAATTATAATATTATAAAATTAATTGTTTTTTATAAATATATTATTTATTAAATATATTTTAAAGCTGGAAAAAAAGATAGCCTAAAGAGAATAAAATTTCATTTTTCTTAGAGCATATAAAATTTGTTAATTTGATTATTTTAAATATATTATTATATTAATTAGAATAAAAAATTACTGTACCAATTTTTTAATATACATATTAACATGATAAGACTGAATTTTTATTAAATTATATGATTTAAATTAAGATGTAAATTAATTTATATAATATATCAATAAAAAAAACTAATATGTAAGGGTAAAATGGTAAATTCATTATTATTATCCCTCCCTCCCCTCCCCTCCTTGAACCAAACAAGGGATCATTAAATATCCTCCCTCCCCCTCCTTTTTAATCAAACCAAACAAGATAAGGATGAAACCTCCCCTCAACTCCTCTACCCTCCCCTCAAACCAAACAGGCCCTAAGTGTGAATGAATAAGTAAAGGCAATTTACAAAAATATAGACACTTGTAGTTGGGGTTATGAATTCTTTTATATTTCTTATAAATCGATGAATTTTGAAATGTCTAAGTGTGAATGAATGAGTAAAGGCAATTCACTTAATCCAAAGGTGTGGACTGAAATTTTGAAATGTTTTAAGAGTTGATTGATATGAGGGTTTAATGAAATTTACCCATTTAAGTAAGTTCTCCTTTATTTTCTGCCAACGAATCAAGCAAGTCATCTTTCTTAGTATTTTTTGTCTTCAAAGTTCTAAATCAAAATCTAATATATTTCTTTAAATAAATAATTGTACTTCTATGAGCCAATTAGGGATTTGTTAAATTCGTAGGCCTAATATTTAGGATTCTTATTTCAGATTTCTTTAAATGAGATTCTTCATATTTAATACTATCTTATGTCTTTAATATAAGAGCTCATTTGATTTTTATTTTGATTTTAAATATAAGACCTCATTTTACTTTGTCTCTCATATTTATCTTTTTTTTTATGGTAGTTCTTATAATAATAGTAGTTCTAGCCAATATATTTGATTAGTAAGGATATTTTAGAAAAAATAATACCTATTTATTACAAATAACTAACTTAACTAGTTTTTTTTTAATTTACTTAAATTAGTCAACTAGTTCTTATATTAAGGATATGAGGTAGTATTTATTAAGATTATTATTAATTAATTCAAGTTTGGTTATTGTTAGATTTTAAATGAAAGATAAGTAAGTTTTTAAAACATAATTTGTTATTCGTAAAATCTTAAATCTTTATTTAGAAGTCTCTTCTAATTGCCAAATCATCCAACGGAACAATAATAAATGCGAATCACATGTATTAATTAGAGAATTCTCAGTTAAAATATGGTACCTGCAAATCCCTACAATTACGGTTACATTTATTTGAAGTTAGCGAAATTATTCTCCGAAAATAATCATATATTGAAGGAATGGGAAAGAAAAATTTATTATTTTTCCAACAGAAAAATTTATTATTAAATTGTGATCTTGAGGTTAATTGATATTTGATTGTGATTGATAATAATTGACCAGATTGAGATTGATAAAATGAAAAATCAAATTTTGGAACGTTGCTCGCTAGCGGCTATATATCTTAACTCTTAAGGCAAAAATCGTCCATTTAATTGAATTGAACAGTCACCTATCAGACTTATGGCTTGGTGGTGGAAGTGTATTGCTTTGCTTGCTTTCACCTCTTGATCCCAGGGTTCAAATCGGGCAATCTGACTCACACAGTTGAATGTAACGGTCATCAATGGCGGATTTGCCTAGTGGCTCTGCGAGCTTCTGGACTCAGGCTAACGCTCTCCTTCAGAAAAACTTGACTTTACGGGTTCCTCTCTCCTTCTCTTTCTCTCCGTTCCATTTCTTAACCTTTCATGTTGTTCTCTTGGGGCTCTAAACGAGGCTATTGGTCTAAGCACTTTAAATCTAGAGACTCTTTCGGAGCTTTTAACTTCTATTTAAGCTTTTAACTACCATATCTTAACTACGGATACAGTGGCTTTTTGAAGCAGCCTTGCTGATTGTAGGATAAGTTTATAACATGTCGAGTGAAACTCGGATTATTTGCTTCCAGGATTCTTGTGTAGATTTGTTTAGAGTCTGGTATGCATGTATTTCAATTTGATGGGTTTGAAACAGACACCTCTCATTCTTAAACTTATTGGAAAATATATTTTCTGTGACTTTTGTCTGATAATACACAGATGTCTTTGTTTAAAGAAACGAAATGTAAAGATAATTGTACGTCGCTCATCTTATTCCCATCTGTCCTCTGCAACTAGTCAATATTTCTTGCAAATTTTGTTTCAGTGATCATTGTAGTCACACTCAATCATTTTAATTTATATAACTGATACTACCATTTCTTTTTCTTATCAATAACTTCGATTCATGTGCTGATTTTCTTTGGAAACTTGGGGCTTGTTTCGAGAGTGGACGAAGCGCATTATTGCAGAGTCAGATCTGACGGTTCAAAACATCACTGAGGACACAGAGTTCATCATTTTGGCTGGTGACGGCCTCTGGAAGGTAACATTTTCTCTCAGAATATTTGCATAGAATGAATTCAAAACATTATTTCCATATTTAGAGTTTTGATCTTAACAAAGAACCTGATAACAAGTTGATAACGAACCCTACCTGTTGCTTGTTATTGTCCCAGCGAATTGGATAAGCCAGAAAATAGGTGTGATTGCATTTGTTTGTACTAAATAGAGATGGCAATCAGATTAGGTTACAATTTAAACAATTCCTAATCCTCCAAAATGACCTCCACTGTTACAATTGCCTGCTCCCTAATATCGACCTGTATAAGCTAGCAAAGGGTCGTGCTTATTATGAGATCAAACAATAAATCTTAACAACTCTTCATTAGTTTATCTATGACATCATCTCTTGCAGTTTTTCTCAGAAGATGAACAAGATTCCCCCAGGTATCTATTGAATTCCTTCAACTCAATTGGTTCACTGTTTT